AAGGTTTTGGGGAAAACAAATGGGCCCCCGGGGGGGCCCGGGAAATTCCCCCCGGTTTTTTCCCTTTTGGAAATGAAAAACCCTGTCCCGGGAAAACCCGGGGGGGTTCCCCCCCCCGTTTTTTGGGGGTGGGGGGTAAATTTTTTAAAGGTTTGGGGCGCCCCGGTTTTTTTCCCCCCCCCCCCCCCCCGCCCCCCGTCTCACTCGCCACTGCCGCCGCCGCCGCCGCCGCCGCCGCCACTGAGCCGTTCCGTTACGTCTCGGAGGATCTCCACCGGCGAAGGCTCGACATCCGCCGGCAACGGGTGAAAAGAAGGCGGCATGAGAAGGCCCGGACCCCTGGACGCTATCAAACTCGTCGTGGAGCAGCGGTTGGTCACCGCCACGTACCTCTCCAGGCACAAGGAGATTGTTGATGCGTGGACGGCGGAGGGGGGGGGGGGTATTCGAGCGTGGTGTGCAAGAGTACAGGGCGTTGATACCGCGATACACAATACCACAAGCTTTGTAGGGGATATAGGCTATGTACATGTACGTCTGGTGCCCGCATTTTGCTGGATACGACACTTCCCGCACGGAGCAAAAGAGGGATAGTATCAAGGGATAGACCACGGAGCTCACTGCTACTGTATGTAGCTGTACAGCGTGGAGACAACATACGCTTACAGTTTGATTGGCCACTAGTAGGACAGCGCTGAACAGAGTGCAGAGGAAAGGAAGCGTGCAAATGAGAAATGTACGGCGTAATAATAACAATACAGGGTGGGGTTGGTGTGTTCGTGACTAAGTGTAAGAGAAAATAAATCATCACGTGTCCCGCCGGCAAAATCGATTAAACGTCGAGAGCATTACTATTTGCCGACAGACAGACGTACATTGCGGGCACATCGAGTATGTACATCATGCCGAGTGAAAGTTAGCATGTGGAATATCAGGATGAAATTATTGAGTTCACAGCCGTGTGGGAGCTGCGTTTTGGTGACAGAGATCCTTGGCTTTAGTACCGGAACATGTCGGGCATAGTGTAGACTGCTGACTGCTGACACGCCGCTGCATTTAGGTAAGTCTACCCGCATCGTACTTCTGCAGACTACTACATACTCTACTGCAGATTTCATGATTTCTTGCCCCGTGGGGAGGACATACACTACATAGTATTCAGGTGTTTGACCGTGTGCTTTCGCAGCGATAACTAGAACTATCCTAGCATACTCACAGCGACGAGCGTATTGTGTACGTGATCCCTCGCATGTCTCTCGTAGACGCAATGACAACACATGTACCACGGTCACATGACCACAAGGAGGGGCACAATATTATCCCAGACCCCCCCCGGAATTTGAATCGCGTCACCCACCTCTCCTGGCTCTCTTCTGCTCTTTTCTGGCTGGCCTTGTGGGCGCACGTACACAACCTCGCTGAGTGTGTGAGACTGACTTACCCTCAAGGATCCAACAGAAAAGGAAAAAGCACACATGTGTAAAAATCGGCGCAATCAGCTGCTACCCTGGCGGGGCGGCGGCGGCGGCGGCAGCGGCCAGCTCGTGATGTGCGGTGTCCTTGTCTTGGCAGCAACTTCTCGGGCGCTCGTAACGTCACTGCAGGTAGGCGTGCGTGATGTAATGCCTGCTACAGCAGTACGGCGATGGTGATAGACACACGGGTGTGATAGGAATGCTGCTGCTTCCGTGGCTGCCGTTTGTACGTGCAAGGGGCAAGAATTGGCAGGGGGAAAGGAGAAGGCGGTGTGGGAGTCTCTACAATGTAGTTACTACTCCGTTAGTGATGCGTTTTGTCTCACCGTAACCTGCTCTTCGGCTGTGTCATTCATCACGGCGGTTCAATTTGTGTGCCTGTAGCAGTTTACGCGACACATTATTTCGGGAGCTGATCGCTGATCGACCACTGCACTCGGAACTCAGTAGCGTTTTCCACAGCGTGTAACCAGAGATTTCGATCTGGCCGTGCAGTTGTTCTGTGAACAACGCTCATTTTTGTGCACGTTGCGCAATCGGCCCTTTGCATGCGGCCTGTTTTTTTACATAAAGCAGGTTGCGTACCGTTGAGACCGTTCCATATGACCACAAATAATGTACCTTCGTTTCATAGTTGTGCGAGGATCAAACTACGCCCCCCCCCGCCCGGGCCGCTCGCCCATGCGTGTTGATTGGCGTGAGGCAGCTTCTGAGTCACATGGACCAAAGTAATTAATGCATGCACGAGAGGATCTACTCATGATGTGGTATCTCATCTTCCCTCCTTTCTTCAATATTTGAAGTAGTTGTACTTGGCGCCGACGAGCCGCGCGGTTCCTCCCCAGTAGACTTAAGGTGGGAGCAGTATCGCCCTGACGAACGTGGTCGCCCTGAAGGTCTTCGTCACCCCGATGCAAGTCTCTTGGATACCCAGTTGATGACGCACGCACCAGTCATGTAGCACACCGAAGCACGCAAACATGCATGCACCTGGTGCACACCTTGGCGCTTGCTAATTTTGGATATCACTACTGCTGTATGCATACATGACTCACCGCTTGTGCTTGTAAATGTACGATAGCCTGCCGAACTATTGATTCTCTCCGCATGTAGTTTTTCCGACCCCCCCCCCCCTCAAACCTCAAGTGATATCGATAGGGTGGGGGGGGAAATTGTGAACCACCTTCGGCAAAGTAGAAAGGAACCATGTGGCCATCGGTGATAGGGAACAATGCTCCGTCCGCTCGCGGACGCGTGATCATTTGTCTAACCGCTAGAAGGCATGCTCTTGCTGTGGAAGAGATGTATTTGGTGTGCTCTTTGCAAGAAAAAAAAACATGAGTACGAAAGGAACATTTGATACCTGGTCCTGTGGGAAGGAACAATGGTCCGTCCTCTCGAAGACGCGTGGTCAATGGCCTAACCGCCAGTGCAAGCAAAACATGAGAGAAGCCCCCCCCCCACCTCCCCCCTCGCTTCACCGCCCTCCGTCTCCATGACAGGCCTCCTCGCACCCGCGCAGCTGGTCGTCATCTGTCCGCACCCATGGTGGTGGAAGAAATAGCGCGAAAGGCATCTCCTGCCTGAGGACCAGCGCTTTCGGCGGCAGCGAGTTGCCAGCGACGGTGATGCAGGGGGGGGCGGCGGGAAGGCAGCAGCAGCGGGGCCGCCACTCCGACAGCGGAGTCGGGGGATTGGAAGCGGCAGTTTCGGACGTTTTCCCAAGGTGGGTAGGACTCTGATGGCGCCAAGCCAACAGCAGCAGTAGCCTTGGCGAGGTTACTAACCTTGGTTCTAGTGGGAGGTACGGGGTGGGATTAGGGCTAGGGTGACGAACCCCCCCCCTGTCTATTTTTACATATAACCGCAAGCTAAGGAGCCAGGCTGGAAGAGGTAAGGAGAGAGGATATGCTTAGCTCGGTTTTAGTAGGGGGGTTACGGGTTGGGGTTAGGGCCACGCAACCCCCTCTCTACGTTACATATAATGTCCTCGCGAAGGCCGTCCCCAGCCAAGTTGCTGGCGGGGGTTCGAAAACCGTGAATGCTGTGGGTCCGGCTTCGGCAGCGACAGCGAGCCTGGTGTTTTACTCTTTGTCAACGTGGGATGTACCCCAAGTGGTCTTTAGCCCTTTGTTTATTTTTGTTTTCCCGACCCGCACCCACGCGAACGCAACGCTGGTTTAGGTCCCCCCCCCCAGGGTAAACGGCCATGGACAACCTTTGTGGCAGATACAAGGATGATAGCAGACAGTAGTGGCGATTGATAGCGCGGCCACATTCTGGAATGCAGAAGCGACAAAGACGAAAGACAAAGGCTCGAAACAATGAGCAATGATATCAGCCCTTCCTCGCGACGTGTTCTCCATGTACCTATCCGAACGGTGCCTTTGTCTTGCGTAGGCAATTGCCAAATCACGAAGGCGAGCAATGTAAATAAGCCAATTGAAGGAGGCTTTTCTCCCACTCGTTGCAAAGACTCCCAACACCCCCCCCTTCGACTAGTGTGGTATCATCTCGAACGATTAGTATTTCTGTGATTGTATGCATATGGTCTTGAACCAAGCAAAGTATCCTGCCCCCCCCGCCCCCCCCCCCGCACAGGTTCAAAAGGCGAAGGAAGGCCGCCGCCGAAGAGAAAACGCCTCCGTTGTATCGCAGCGTCAAGACGACGATGAGACCTCTGAGATTGCCGGCTTGGCCGGTCCAAAACGGTGAGAAGATGATGACGGCACATGTGTTGTTCTCGACCACAAGTGTGTTCCCCGCTGTCTGCTGCTGCACTCCCTTTGTCTCTTTGTTCTCTCTCTCTCTCTCGTGTCTTTTGATTGCGGAGCTTGGCGACCTAAAGTATCGACGGAGGCGTTGCCAGCAGTACCGGTACACTACAGGAGCAGTGAAGCACATTTAGGCGGGTGTGGGGATGAGAGTCAACAGGGCTACCCCGCGCTCATCCCGGGTTCTGCTATGTATTTTGATATGCAAGTATACATTCCGCCAGGCGTTTGTCTTGTGCTTTTCCTGGCCTGGCGCAATCATTGCTGCATTCGCCAGACTTCGCCGTGTATATAATTCTCATCCTGTGGTCAGTGTTTTTTGGTTCTGGTCCTCTTGAGGCCGTAATTATCTCTCAAGCGGATTTCTTACAGGAACTTGCCGCACGGCGCTGTTGTACAGAAGACGCGTCCGCTCAAAGAACCTCTTGTTTTGGGCACCCCTAGCTGCGTATATTCTGTGAGAAAACAAACAACAGGTTTTTGTATGGGGTGGAGCCCAAGTTCGAATTTTTGAAGTATGTACATACAGCGTCAAGTTCCTGTCTACGAGGATCCTTGAGGGGCTCGTTCCGTACGTGTTCCTACATCAATCCCCCTCCCCTACACCTTTCTTCCCTGCGTTCCTACCGACAGCTGTGGACCTCATCTCCCTCCGTATTCATCACGTGTATCTATCTATCTTTATTCACAATTGGTGGCGTGGTGTGTGCGCTAAACCAATGAGTGCCAAACAAGCTTGAACGACTCACCTAACAAACAAACAACACGACCGACACGCAAACGTTCAGGGTTGATCTACACGGCGCTGGACTTTTTGCGCCTCCGGAAGCTGGCGCTACACCTGGAGGACCTGTGGGGCGGCCGCGTGGGTGTCCTCCAGCCGCCGAACCAAGTGGAGTCCGACCCGTTCATCATGCTCGTGCACCACCGACACACGGTGCGAATCAACACATGCGGTGGTTGCACCGCCGGCAGCCACACAACCTGTACACAACCTGAACGGGGGGGCAGGCTCCAAGCCCAGCCAGGGCTCCGTCCTATTGTGCCTACTTACGGCGGAAAAGATAGTGGAATAAGACCACATATGCATACATGTACTGCAGAAATGACAATCGGATAAGACCGCATACCTGTATAGTACTGCTTATTGTCTTAAGTTTTTTTCGCTTGTTTTTGGTTTGTGAAGTCCGTTCTGCCGTCCCCCCGTCGCCTCCGGCCTTCCTGGCTGCCTACCTGCTTGTACATGAACTGTTTGCTGTCTGCCAAGGTTTTTCGCTTGTTTGGTTTGTGAAGTCCGCTCTGCCGTCCCCCTGTCGCCTCGTCTCGTCTGCTGTGTCCACTTGTGGGTGAAAAGTTCTGGCCCCTGGACCCGTTCCGACCGATCTCGAATATGTTCGTGCCGGAGGGATTCCCGGCCCACCCGCACCGAGGCTTTCAGACCGTCACGTACGTCATGAGGGTGAGTGGGTGAAGTGGGTGCCGTGTGGAGGTGTATTTCGTGCATACCAACGTCGTCTCGCCGATAACCAACAGGTAAAGTTATACACGTGCACAATGTACATGTCCTTTCCTTCAACGAACAATAAGCTAGTACTACTATGTATGGGCACATCCTCCATAAAAATGAACCATTAACGAATACGGGTGAGTGAGAGAGAGAACCCGGAACACGGAACACTCACAGCCCCCCCCCCCCCCCCCCCCCCCCCCCCTTTTTTTTTCCCCTC